AGATGTTCAGGCTGATTTAGACCAACAAAGGCTCGATGCTGTAACTACAGCCAAAGGTGGATGTACTAAATCCTGACTGAAAGGGGGTGATATGCAGTCGCCTATTTTACAGGTTATGTGTTTAATTAATTGACATTCGTCAGTACTCAGTTCTTGTCTAAACAGCCTCATCAAACTGACGTTGATTCACACATGACAGACAGAACTCAGCGTGTTCACAATAACAGCATTCATAACATCTATAACAGCGGCTGTGTTTGATTTGTCTTCTGTCCGATCAGGTTCGAGAAGGGTCGTATCTACACCTACATCGGAGAGGTGGTGGTCTCCGTCAACCCGTACAGACAGATGGACATTTACGGTAAAGACACCATCGACGCGTACCGCGGCCGGGAGCTCTACGAAAACCCTCCTCACCTGTACGCGGTGTCGGACGCTGCCTACAAGGCCATGAAGAGGCGAGCCAAAGACACCTGCATCGTCATATCAGGTCTGTGGCTTTGAACCTTCTGCTGTTCGTGGCTTCAGGCTGTTGATCCGGTTATAATGCAGCTGACACGTTTGAACCTGATCACCAGTAGAGGGTCAGTCAGGACAAACAGGGAGCAAGACAAGAGTTTAAAGATGATGGGTCATTCCATCTCAGATCCTCAGGGACCTTCTGACACTCCGGTATCATAAACGGAGGATATTTAAAGTGATATCTGTGAAATTTTGGATTAATTTATCAACTACTTTCTGAGATTTTTTAGGGGTTTTTTGAATAATGCCTGAGGCTGTTTGAACAACAACATCTCAGGAACTCCTAAAGATAAAAACCTGAAATTTTAACTGTTTTTTTAAAATCATGTCATCGATTAGGAATCTGCAATATTGGACAAATCGATCAAACAGTCTGTGAATGATCTCAAACTGAAATATGCCCCCTTAGAACAACGTTATTTTGACTCATTTCTAGTCATTTAAAGTTACAGAAAACCTTTTTATTGTGCAGCTCAGAGCTAAAAAGCCAAAGATATTCAGTTCAGTTCAGTGTTCAAGAAAACAAAGAAGCTGAAAGTTTTGACCTTTTTGCTTCTCAGTCACAACAGACCCTTTTGTAAACTGATGAATTGATCAGTCGAGTGGAGTGCAGAGGATTTTAAGATTTATCGTCACAACCCTGCAGACCTGCATTAGTTTTCTCTCAGGGTTAAGTTGAACATCTTTTAAAATCTCTTTCTTGTGCTTTAACACGCACAAGAGCTGCAACAGTTAGTTGACAAATTGCTCAGTTGTCACCTATTAAAAATCAAACAAACAATTCTCTCAATCTTTCAACCTTCAGCTTCTGAAATGTGAATATTTTCTGCTGCTTTTTTCTATGTTGAAAATCAATTTTATTGTCTTTGGATATTTTGGTTGTTCATCACTGAAGCAGCTTCTAACCTAAAACCCTCGATGTTTGTGTTTCTGATGATGCTCTAAACTTGAGTTTACGTGGACAAGAGAGCATGTAGTCGAGACAATAGTTTACAAATGATCAGAAAATCTGATCTGATGTGTGAATGACTTGTGACTGTGATGCAGCTGGTATCTGTACGTCTGCGTCTTCCAACATCATATCGTGTTAAAAAGAAAATGTGACCTGTGTAAGGAATAAACAGAGGCATTAAATATTATGAAATGCAGATTAACTGATCTATTTATTAGCACCTGAACCCGAATATTCCACAAACAATCTGAAATTAGACCAAACAGAATAAAAATGACTCATTGAACCTCCTCAGTTGGAGCAGATTTTTCTGATCCAGACTGACTTTAGCGTAAATCCTTTGATATTAGAACTGATTAATCAACATCTGTGTTTGTTTCTCGATGCAGCCAATGTGGTGTTTATGCAGCAGTCCTTTGGCGAAGAAATGGGCACCAAATTTATCATTGTTGCTGACATGTAGAGGTCCTTTTGCAAAAATAAATACAGCTGAAATTCCTGCTTAAATGGAAGAAAACCAGCAGAAACACTAAATTAATTCACGTCATTTTCTTCCACAACGTTTTCTCAATAAAGTCAGAAAAGCAACTTCAGTCAGACACCACAGAGCAGCAGATCCACTTATTCCAGGTTAAACAAAGTTGATTAAACACTTCACTGTATCAGGATGATTTCCGTCGACTTGAACGTCTAGCTGCAGCTGTTGTTGTGTTCCAGGTGAAAGCGGTGCAGGAAAAACAGAAGCCAGTAAATACATCATGCAGTACATCGCCGCCATCACGAACCCGAGCCAGCGGGCGGAAGTGGAGAGGTGAGGCCCGGCTGGTTCCTCTGCTTTAACAAACAGTCGCATCGTGAGAGTTCGATGTGGCGGTAAATCACCTCCTCTGACTCCGCAGCGTGAAGAACGTGCTGCTGAAGTCCAACTGCGTGCTGGAGGCCTTCGGGAACGCCAAGACGAACCGCAACGACAACTCGAGCCGCTTCGGCAAGTACATGGACATCAACTTCAACTTCAACGGGGATCCCACCGGAGGACACATCAACAACTACCTGCTGGAGAAGGTGAGCGGGGCCGGAAACAGTTTCATGAATGTTTGATGAGGTGTGAGGGAACATCCGTGAATAGATGTAAGTGTGAAGCTGCTGCTGCTGCTGTGTGCTAATGAACGGATCACCTGAGGCCACTTGATGCTGCTGAATTCATCAGAGCTGTTAAAGAAGCGTCTGGCGCTCGGAGCCCGACGTGTGAATAATGGCGGCGGTGATTTATTCTCAGAGGGCAGAAATAACCACAGAGTCTCTGAGCCGTCCTGCTCCTCCTGCTGCTGGTTTGTCTCTCAGGTGGTTCTGAAACAGTTGGTGGACGTTTTGTGCTCCTGCTGCAGTTTTACTCACTGTTGTTTATTTTTTTACTGCAATATAAAATCCTGACGAAAACCTGGAATCAACATGTCCAACATTTTCTAAATACCCACTGCTGTTAGCACCACCAGCAAAATATACGGAAAACCCTTCATGCTTTAAATATTTTACTATTTTAAATTAGTTTCTGGGCTGCAGGGTGGCGCAGTTGGTTAGTACTGTTGCGTCGCAGCAAGAAGGTTGCCGGTTCACGTCCCGGTGAGGACACCCGGGATCTTTCTGCGTGGAGTCTCCATGTTCTCCCCGTGCAGCGTGGGTTCTCTCCGGGTTCTCCGGCTTCCTCCCACAGTCCAGAAACATGCTGAGGTTAATTGATGATTCTAAATTGTCTGTAGGTGTGAGTGTGAGTGTGCTTGGTTGTCTGTCTCTAAGTGTAGCCCTGTGATAGACTGGTTACCTGTCCAGGTGAACCTGCCTTCACCCTGAGTCAGCTGGGATAGACTCCAGAACCTCAAGACCCTAGTGAGGATTAAGCAGTGTATAGATGATGGATGGATGGATAAACCCGCTGGCAGATTTTGTGGTTCAGATTTTAAGAACTAACTTTTTCAAAAATGCTCCGTCAGTAAAATGAAAATAATTTTTCTCACGTCGGTATCTTGAACTGTTTACAGCAGCAACGCAGAATTTTTGTCACATGCTTGGTGGTTGCATTTGATTCAGTTGTGGCTCCACAGATGTGCAGAGAAGTGGAGAACTTTTTGTTTTTTACAGAATCTCATTTGAGCAAATCTTCTACTTATGGCGACTTTTTAAGTGATTTTGCTGAAATATGAATATTTTAGGCTCAGATTTGATTCTCAAAGACTAGAAAGTTGATAATCTAATGTTTCTCTGGCAACAAATACATTTATTCCTGACATTTCTGTGCTATTTTGTGCGATTTCTTTGGTGATAAGATGCTTTTCAAATCCACTGATGTGTTTTTGGGGTTCAGAGGGTGAAACATTGATGGAAAAACAGCTGCTGGAGGTTCTGTGTGATTCCCACAGAACCGGAGGCTTCGTCTGCATGATGCTACTTTAGACATTTTGAGTGCAGCGACAGATTGAAAACGTTTTCCACAGTATAATCTCTGTGAGGTTCAGTTATCAATCCTTCAAAATAAGAGCACAAAGACTTTGTTTTCAGACTGAGAGTTTGTCACCAAAGTCCAGCAGCCGTCCAGTAAGTCATCGATCTTCGACATATAAAGAGAGACAGTTGACTCATGACAAGCTTTCTGCTTCACTGTTGTTTCACTTCTCCTTCTGGGACTCATAAACCTGCTCTGACCTCTGCTGAGCTGCTATTTGTCTTGAGTTGCCTCAAAAAGTCTTTGTATCTTTCAGCTTAATGTAAATGTTGAGGATGATTTTTGCTAATTTTCTTGAATAGTTGTTTGAACAACATCCCAGTTATGTCATTAAATGTCCTGTTTTGTCTGATCAGCAGTTAAAACCCTCAAAATATTCAGGTTGTTATCATGTCAGTGCAGGAAATGCTGCAAATTCTCACATTTTAGCACCTAAAAGCATAACTTCTTTGTCATTATTTCTTGCAAAATGATCAAATACAAACGCAGCTGCTGATTATTTTTCTTTCAGTTGACTAATTGTTGCATCTCTGATAAATTTAGTTTGTTTATTTTCTTCTCTGCTTCCTGTATGTAAGTTTGAAACACCCTAAAACTCAGCAGCAGCTTGAGCCGTCACAGAATGATTTGATTGGTGTCTGATTATTTGGATGTTTTGGTTTTACAACCACAATCTGTTTTTTGCTGTTTCAGTCCAGGGTGGTCCAGCAGCAGGACGGCGAGAGGAACTTCCACTCGTTTTACCAGGTAAACTCACACCTTCTGCAAAACGTGATGATTGTTCCACAAACACAGTCACTGACCAGGAAACTTTAACAACATGGCTGTAAAACAACAACCACCACTGTGCCAAAATTATGTGAAAAAAGCAGAAATGATGCCGTTTATGCAAGAAGGGGTTTGACTTTCAGAAGGAAGTGATGATCTGTGACAACAGATTTTATTTTTAGCCAAAATTAGACATTTAATAGTTTCCTCTGCACACAGTGAAACATTTCATCTGAGCNTGGTTGTTCTGTTTCCAAAGAGGACTTTATGTCACGGTTTAAAATGAAACTACAGTGAGGAAAAATCCAGTTTCCCTCATACAAAAACAACCTAAACAAACCTAAAATACCATGAAAATACCAATTTTGGTCCAATACAATACATTAAATACTGAATATTAGGAGTGGAAGCATGAATAAATAAATATAGAAATGCAAATAGCAGCAAAAAAAAATATTCAGTTCCCAACTTGAATCTGGCTCCTGTGGTGATGTTTTGTGCTCTTGTGGGATTAAAGTGACAGAAATGTCCAACAATGGATGTTAAAGTTTTGCAAACATGAAGTTTTATCGGTTTGTTTTTCAGGGAAATGTGCAGTTTGAGAGCGACGGTGAGAGCGTTCAGGTCGTCGGACTGGAGGCTGTGCAGCACATCTCCCAGCTGACGTCCACGGATCCGGACGGCGTCTGTAAGAGCCTCCTGTACCGGACGGTGGCGACCGGCGGCGGCGAGGTCATCGAGAAGGGACACAGCGAGCAGGACGCCTGCTTCGGACGAGACGCCTTTGCCAAGGTGCTGCTTCCTTGCATCATCCGTTGACTGTTTGGCCTAACAGGAGGTTTACAAGTTGGGCAGACTTGTACAGGATGAAACACTTGCACTGCCACTGTGACTTGCTTTCTCTTATCAGCTTCCACAGCCGTCACATCGCTTAAATCTCCTGCTCCATCTCGTTTCTCTGCTGCAGGCTCTCTACGAGCGACTGTTCGGCTGGATCGTGAGTCGCATCAACAGCGTCATCGAGGTGAAGGACTACAACCCGGTGCTTCACGGGAAAAACACCGTGATCGGCGTGCTGGACATCTACGGCTTCGAGATCTTTGACAACAACAGGTTTGTGGTTTCGACAGTCACCTGCTGTTCGTCAGTCAGTCGTCGCTGTTGCTCAAGCGTCTGTTCCTTTTTGTCGCCGCCCAGCTTCGAGCAGTTTTGCATCAACTACTGCAACGAGAAGCTGCAGCAGCTTTTCATCGAGCTCATCCTGCAGCAGGAACAAGGGGAGTACCAGAGAGAAGGCATCACCTGGCAACATGTGAGACAAACACAAACAGACGCTTCCTCTTTAGACACCCTGACGCTGCTCCTGTCACAGTTCTGCTAAACACAGAGTTAGAATGACAGAAATCATTAACAAAGATAAAACAAAAGCTGCATTTCTTCCATTGTTCATAAACTAAAAGCATCCACAAGTGTTACTCATGCTGGAAAAACCTAATGACTCCACCTACTGTAGATATTTAGAGCTCCATTCTGCACTAAACATTGTGTTTTATGTGAACACCGCCTGCAGTTCAGCCAAAACGTCCCTGAATTTTTGTGACACGACTGTTGGTTGCAGCTGGGTCACTAATAGCTTCACAGTTACTCTGGGAAGCACCGAATTTTTTGTTTTTTACAGAATATAAACAGTGCAAACGGTTTATTTTTGGTGATTTTTTTTAGGTGCAACACGTAGAATGAGCGGCACGTCAACAATCAGCAGTTCAAGGATCATCAGAACAGTTCAAAATTCACCGACTCTCTGTTTTTACAGTTGTTGCCTCCTTAAGATAGTAAAATATGAGTAATTTTCCTGAAACCACACTTCCTCCAAACCTCCAGCAGGTCTTGGGGGTCAGAAGGTTCAGCAGCTGAAACCATTTCTGTTCCTTTTTGATTTGCCTGATATTTTTAAAATATGAACATGTATAAAGCCGTTTGTGATATTTAATCGATATATTAAATACTTTTTGAAATAACTTTTTAAAAATTTCTTATCAACCCACTTTTAGCAGCACATTGAAATCTGAACAACTATATTTCAGGAACTATTAAACATAAAAATTTGTTATTTCTTGTGTCATTGATTAAAAATATGCAATAAGTTAAATTTCCTAAGCTGAAAAATTCTATAATTTTTTTGTTTAAAGACAAAAAGCCTTTCAGATGCACCGCTGGTTTTTTAGAGGGTTAAACAAACAAACAAAAAACGTATATTCCCATTTTTATTATGCTTCCATGATGACAGTATTTATATGATATTAATCAACCAGATCAGAGGATGAAAAACTTTATAAACTATCTGCAAACACATTAAAGAAACATCAATCTGAGCAGCATTATTTTCTCTGATGAGGTTGTTTGTTAATACAAAACAGGTAAAACAGGCCAGAGTTTGTTTTTATGTTTTTTATTATAGCTACTCTGAACAAAGCAGCACAGAGGCAGCAAAACCCCAGAAACCTGATTGTTGTTGTTTCTCTAACCTCACAGATCGACTACTTCAACAACCAGATCATCGTGGACCTGGTGGAGCAGCCCCACAAAGGCATCATCTCCATCCTGGACGAAGCTTGTCTGAGCGTCGGTAAAGTAACCGACACCGTCTGCCTGGAGAGCATGGACACCAAGCTGTCGCAGCATCCTCACTACACCTCGCGCAAGGTGAGGACCAACCGCAGCGTCTGTCACCTTCGTGTGATGTAGCATCGAGACGTAGTTGACAAACACTTTAAAAATCAACATGCTGGTGTGTCCAGTTCTGTGAAAAACGGCAGCTCTACTCATTGTAGATATTTGAATATTTTCATTTTTACTTGGCTTCTATATTTGTCTCTGAATTTTCATCACATGACTGTTGCTCACAGCTGAGTCACTAATTCATCCTCGGTTAGGGAATGAAAAGCAGCATTTTTTGAGTAAATATCAACAACAACACATCACAGATAATCTCACAAATTCAATGTTTTTTTTTTCTGTTTTTACAGTTTGAGACATTTAGAGTAAAGTCATTTTGCTGAAATAGCACACTTTAGATTTGGCTAAGCTTCCCGAACCAACAACATGTTACCGATCAGTAGGTTGAGGAGCTTCGGAAAAGTTGTCAAAANCTCTATTGAAGTAAATGCACTGGACGACGTTCTGTTTACAAACTGAAAACTCCTAAAAAGCTTCTAAAACGTAGATAAAGCAGCTGCAGAAACTTCTCAGTTGTGAACACGAATGAAGACGTGATGGTTCTGGTACCGTTACTGAACTATGTGGGGCTCCAGAATCAGGCAAACATGCTGCTTCTGGTTTGTTCAGACGTTTCTACGTTTATATTTTAGTTTGGAAGCAGACTGAGGTTTGGAGGGAAGCATTTACAGTTGTTTAAATGAACTGCGCTCACGAAACAGAGGCGCTAGAGTTTGTTTTAATTACACACCTTAAATCATCAGCTGCACCTCCCATGACTCCTGCACTCTGACGGTGTTTTTGTCTTTCCAGTTGCTTCGTGGAGGCTCTGATGAGATGCTGGAGTCGTTTCACCTGCACAACGATCCTGCTGCTTATGTTTACACCAGAGAAGGAGCTGCAGCCGCCGTGAGTTCATCTTCAGTTCAGACAAAATGAAATACATCTAAGTGTTTTCTTTGGCATGATTTAAGAAAAAATCATCCATTTCAGGAACAAATTGTGAATCGTTTTCCTTCTTTTTTCCCCTCCAGACGTCCAACAATGATCGAACGAGCCACAAGGCAGTGATGAGCGCTCTGAGTGTCATCGGCTTCTCGGAGGAGGAGATTTCCTCCATCTACCAGATCCTCGCCTCCATCCTGCTTCTGGTAAGTTAAAGCTCAGTTAGTCAAGAGGTAGAGAGAGGTTTATGGATGTAGGATCGCACATTTGACGTCGTTTTACTCCACAGACCTCACAGCGACTCCTCTGGTCGATGAAAACAAAACCAGAACTGCCAGTGGATTAAAAAAATTAGCAAAATTACACCTTTTATTAGAAATACTGTGACTTTTATTGAATTGATCGTTTGGTTTCTTTGGCAAAATTAACCTTATTTAAGTGTAAAATTTTAATATGTCGTCAAAATCGCTTTATCCTGTGTGTGTTGTTTAAAAAATGGCCAAAAATGACGGATTCATATGAACCAGATTCTGCAAAAAAAAAAATAATTCTGCTCTCTTAGATGCAGCTGTTAAACCTTTTAGTGACTCAGCTGCAGCTAAGAGTGGAGGAGCAACAATTAGTGGATTTTCAGCTGAATGCAGGCAGTGAAAGAAACGATTAGAAATGTAAAGAGTAAAATAACAATCACATGTAAAGTCAACATTTATTTCCAGCGTTGGTGACGGCTGTGGACACTTGGAAAAATGTTGATTGCATTTTTTTTTTTTTTTTGTAAAAGAAATTATTAAAGAAATTCAGCATTCATTTATTTATTTATTTTTAATGATTTCTTTCATTTTAATTGTGTCATTCTGCAAAGAAGACATCTCTGAGTTCTGTCTCCTTCTTCATGGTTGTTCTGTTTCCAAAGAGGACTTTACGTCACGGTTTAAGATGAAACTACAGTGAGGAAAAATCCAGTTTCCCTCATACAAAAACAACCTAAACAAACCTAAAATACCATGAAAATACCAATTTTGGTCCAATACAATACATTAAATACTGAATATTAGGAGTGGAAGCATGAATAAATAAATATAGAAATGCAAATAGCAGCAAAAAAAAATATTCAGTTCCCAACTTGAATCTGGCTCCTGTGGTGATGTTTTGTGCTCTTGTGGGATTAAAGTGACAGAAATGTCCAACAATGGATGTTAAAGTTTTGCAAACATGAAGTTTTATCGGTTTGTTTTTCAGGGAAATGTGCAGTTTGAGAGCGACGGTGAGAGCGTTCAGGTCGTCGGACTGGAGGCTGTGCAGCACATCTCCCAGCTGACGTCCACGGATCCGGACGGCGTCTGTAAGAGCCTCCTGTACCGGACGGTGGCGACCGGCGGCGGCGAGGTCATCGAGAAGGGACACAGCGAGCAGGACGCCTGCTTCGGACGAGACGCCTTTGCCAAGGTGCTGCTTCCTTGCATCATCCGTTGACTGTTTGGCCTAACAGGAGGTTTACAAGTTGGGCAGACTTGTACAGGATGAAACACTTGCACTGCCACTGTGACTTGCTTTCTCTTATCAGCTTCCACAGCCGTCACATCGCTTAAATCTCCTGCTCCATCTCGTTTCTCTGCTGCAGGCTCTCTACGAGCGACTGTTCGGCTGGATCGTGAGTCGCATCAACAGCGTCATCGAGGTGAAGGACTACAACCCGGTGCTTCACGGGAAAAACACCGTGATCGGCGTGCTGGACATCTACGGCTTCGAGATCTTTGACAACAACAGGTTTGTGGTTTCGACAGTCACCTGCTGTTCGTCAGTCAGTCGTCGCTGTTGCTCAAGCGTCTGTTCCTTTTTGTCGCCGCCCAGCTTCGAGCAGTTTTGCATCAACTACTGCAACGAGAAGCTGCAGCAGCTTTTCATCGAGCTCATCCTGCAGCAGGAACAAGGGGAGTACCAGAGAGAAGGCATCACCTGGCAACATGTGAGACAAACACAAACAGACGCTTCCTCTTTAGACACCCTGACGCTGCTCCTGTCACAGTTCTGCTAAACACAGAGTTAGAATGACAGAAATCATTAACAAAGATAAAACAAAAGCTGCATTTCTTCCATTGTTCATAAACTAAAAGCATCCACAAGTGTTACTCATGCTGGAAAAACCTAATGACTCCACCTACTGTAGATATTTAGAGCTCCATTCTGCACTAAACATTGTGTTTTATGTGAACACCGCCTGCAGTTCAGCCAAAACGTCCCTGAATTTTTGTGACACGACTGTTGGTTGCAGCTGGGTCACTAATAGCTTCACAGTTACTCTGGGAAGCACCGAATTTTTTGTTTTTTACAGAATATAAACAGTGCAAACGGTTTATTTTTGGTGATTTTTTTTAGGTGCAACACGTAGAATGAGCGGCACGTCAACAATCAGCAGTTCAAGGATCATCAGAACAGTTCAAAATTCACCGACTCTCTGTTTTTACAGTTGTTGCCTCCTTAAGATAGTAAAATATGAGTAATTTTCCTGAAACCACACTTCCTCCAAACCTCCAGCAGGTCTTGGGGGTCAGAAGGTTCAGCAGCTGAAACCATTTCTGTTCCTTTTTGATTTGCCTGATATTTTTAAAATATGAACATGTATAAAGCCGTTTGTGATATTTAATCGATATATTAAATACTTTTTGAAATAACTTTTTAAAAATTTCTTATCAACCCACTTTT